TCTACACTAAAATAAATCCTACTCCCAAGTGGGTAAAGAGCATACACTTATATGTTCCAAGTGACAGGTGCTCCCCACGCACCCCGGTATAGAAAGAAAGGCCGAGACCAAACTCCAGAGGGGCGCTTTTCGCTGCAATCCGCACAGTGAGCCGCCCCAGAGGAATGTATGGTGGGATGAATTACGGCCAGGGCTGCGCTTTAGCCGCAGGGTGATCGTCCTGCAGAGGTGAGGATCCCCACTTTTCTGGAAAAAAAAGGGGAGGGTGGCAAGGTGGAATCATCCCGAGAACAGAGAATTCCTTTGGAAAACGGGACGAACTGCTTGCAAAACGATTCCTATTAACTTCAGATAAGAATGCGCTGAAGGTTAAAATCTACAATACCTAGAAACCCTGGTCTACTACTTCCGGTACAGAATTTTTTCTCTGAAGGAAGGGATGTGTGTTTTCTATCCCGGGTTGCCTATAAGCAGGGGATCTGGAGTTGGTCTCCTGGGCGAGTTGAAAGAAGAGGGCACCGTTTCCCTCCCCGATCCAAGCTGGTGGGAACCTGGCAGCGGTCTACGGAGGTAGATCTAACGAGTCCTTCCGTTAAAGCAGGTTGGAGGCAGCTAGCCCCATTAGTCCACCTCTCGGGATTAGAGCTCCGACAGTTGAGCACCCGGATACTTGATCCGCGGGATCTGATTTCGGCAATGACAGATGTTCGAGCCTGCCTAAGCTTACCTGCTTTCGACTTACATATTTAGAGATCCCAGAAATCAGATAATCGTTTTATTTCAAATAATAAGAGACACTTTGATAAAACCCCCTTTCCTTCCTTCTCTCTGCCTCTTTCCTACAAACTTTCCTTCTCTCTTGAAAATTAGGGAGAGCTTGAAGAGATTGGCCTTCCTTCCATACCAGAGAGGTTATTCCCTTGTTTTCTCTCTCAAACAAACAAAAATAAAAATTGGAAGGCATTAGCTCAATGGCTGAAGCAGTGAATAGTGGTGAACAGGTGGTCAATCAAATACAAACCTCTTTGGAAGTTAAGTTTGTATTTTAATTTAAACTTATTTATTTCACTCAATTTATACTTATATTTTAATTGTTGAACTAGATCTGTAGTTTATGGGCTGGGCTGCACCTTCTCTCCATCACTTTCTCCCCAGCCAGGCCTAACTATTTAATTCCTTCGTGTACACCTAAGCCTCTTTCAGCTCCAATTTTTTTTCCTTAGATTTTTATCTCCCAGGAATGCAAGACAGACGGGGGAATCTCTCTATCTCTCTTCCTTTTATTTGATAACAATCCTCGGAGGTTGAAAGAGGGAGAGAGTGACAGGCCGCTGGTGAATTTTGTGACTGAGCGGAAAGTCTCCAAACTTTGGGTGGTCTTGGCTGGGCTGGAATAGATTTACCTAAAATTTGTCCAGATGCGATTCTAGCTATAAACCTATGAAGGCTTACTTTGAGAAGGGGCATGTTCCAGGAGACAGCCAGTTTGGTCTAGAGACTGTGGGTTCTAGTCCTGCCTTAGGCACAAAGGATGACCTTGGGCCAGCCCCTCTCTCTCAGCCCTAGGAAGCAGGCAGTGGCAAACCATTCTAAAATTTTGCCAAGAAAACTGCAGAGACTAGTCCAGGCAGAAGAAAAATCAAAGCAAAATCATTCCTAAAAACCTTTCCCTTTTTTGTAAAATGATGTTCCTTTGGTACATGTCACTACATAAGTTGTCTAGCATGTATAAAGGTACTTCTAAATTATGTTGGAAACAATAGGTGCGTTTTATTATGTTTGGTGGGCTTGTAAAAAAGCCAGAAAGTTTTGGATGCAGATATAATCACTAATACAGAAGATCTTAAAAGGTAATATATACAATTGAAACCAGAGACTTTTCTTTTGGGATTGATGAATAGAGAGTTGGAATAAAAATAATAAAACTTTGTTTTTATATATGATAACTGCAGTGATATTATTATATACTCGAAAGTGGAAATACTTAGCACTACCTGCTGATAGTGGAGTGGTTGGAGAAGATGGTAGAAGTTGCAGAGATAGCCAAAAGGGCTCCCGTGATTAGAAAAAACACAACATATATGTTTATTACTGAACTGGAAATCCCTTATAGACTTTTTCATGGAACAGAAAAAAAATGATCATATGATTTACGGCTTTGATGATTAGAAAAATACATGATAGGGGAAAAGGGAAAATAGGTAACCATAGAGAAAAAGGTAATTTTGTAGTTGTACTTAAATTTACTGCAAAAAAATACTTTCTTTTTCATTCTTTCTATTTCTGTCTTTCTTTGTTCTTGTTAGGTTTGATTCCCCCCAAAAAAAACTCTTAATAAAGAAAAAATACAATAATATAAAATAAAATCCTTTGCCTTCTGCCTGGTCGGAGCATCCTGAGGAAAGGAATGACATCAAAAGGTGTTTTCCAGCCTGGCAGACATCTAGGCTGAGCAAGATTATGGTGAGGGCAGAAACCCCCCTGCCCCCATCCCCTCACTGGCTGCCCTCTGCCCAACCTTTGGAAAGTGTGGGGATTTTCCATCAGCTGCATCCCCTTGTTGGGTTGGGCAAAAGTCCTGCTGAACTCTGGGGGTGGGTTGGCGGGTTCGAGTTTAGCATTGCTGGAAACTCCTTTACGGAAGGAAGATGCGCAGGTAGAAAATGTGTTCCCATTACATTTTGATCAATGTAAATAAATGCCCTCGCTCAATGAAAGAGCTGGTTTGGTTAGAAAACAGGTGATATGAAATTAGAACCTCAATTTGCTGCCCCCACCCACCATTTCTCAATCTCTCCCCTAGAACAATTATTAGACTGATTGGATATTATCAACCCATCTGTAACACAGGTAACCCAAGTATCATTGGCGGGGGGGGGGGGGTGTTGAGCGGAGAGAGAAGGCTTGTTGAGCGTCCACGAAAGAAGCAGCCCGTAAGGTACCTAGGATCGTGGAGAAATAAAGTGTTACCCCTGCAAGCTTTAGAGTCACCGAGTAGCCATAACAGACTGGTTGCAAGCAATTCCAACAGCGTGGGAAGAGTACTAATATGGCCCCAACCTTGGAGTCAGGCTGTGTCCCTTTAAATTCAGGTGTCTGTGGCGTGTTAGTTCTTGCAGCTGGAGTTAACCCGTGTTTATTTGGCAGCGGGTCTTTATACTGCGGAATGTAATGATCTTTTGAAGGGAGTTAGAAAAGACTGTCAGTTGTTGAAGGGGCATCAATCAAGTACACCCAACTGCTGAAGTTAAGGAGTTAGTGGGCTGCGCTGTGGTGCAAGGAGGGGCCTGGGCCCCTATTTCTGAAGACAGAGAGAGCACTTCGATGGAAATGAAGGGACAACACACCAGACGTCCTTCTTCTATCTCTCTTTCTTTTAATTATTCTCATTATTTAAAAACGTGAACAGTGGGTCACTTCTTTTTTTTTCTTTTTTGCAACCAAATAATAAATATTATTTAGGAACTTTTCCATTTCTTTATTTTATAGATATATATAAAAATAAACAGGTGATTAAAAAAAATCTCTCGAAGGTGACCGAGCTAAGACGAAGTGGAAGGGGGGGGGGGAAAGACCTCATTCAGAAACAAGCCCTGAAGGGTGGGAGGGGAGGGTCTAAATATTGCAAGCACAAGCCAATCTTGATGTCTGCCTCCCCCCTCTCCTTTTTTCTTTTAACCTTTATGCTCCGAGCAAGAAAAGGAAGTGTTGTGGCTTCTAAAAGGGGGGTGGGCTGGGGGAGGAAAGACCTTAATCCGTAGGCCCACACACTCAGGAAACTCCAAAGGACCCCCTTCGCTGCTGTCCGGAGAATGCATCGAAGTAATGCCACCCTTAACAACACCCCCCCGGAGGCAACAGCAGATGCGAGGACTTCGCTTTATTTTGGTCCCCTCGTATTTGCTGCTCCAAATACAACACTGCGATCCTAAAGACCCGGGCCTCGATCCAGCCGGAGCTTCTAGGCGACGGCCGCGACCACCTACCCAGCGTCTGACTCACTTTGGGATAAACTTTCGAAAAGTCGGGATTGGAGCTCGGTGGCACTTAAAACTGCTTAAGCTTCGGTTGGATCGCGCCCAAGACCGGTCGCCTTTCTTCTGAGTTAGGGTAACTGGATCGTTTTTGTTCTGGAAAGCCCTACAGATCGCTACTTGGGTTTAGGCTGGAAGCCAATTACTCTGAAATCGGGCGGGGCGCGTTTCCGTATAGCTACCTTTACATAGTTAACGAGCACCACTCGCCCGGGGACGTCCAGAGAGGAGCCTAGGGGCGACCCCCCCCCCCTCCGCCAACTCTGGCCCTGAAGCTTTCCCAGTTTCAACGAAATTGTAGATCAGGGGTAGTCAAGCTTGGCTCTTTTATGACTCGTGGACTTCAACTCCCAGAATCCCTGAGCCAGCTAAGCTGGCTCAGGGATTCTGGGAATTGAAGTCCACGAGTCATAAAAGAGCCAAGCTTGACTACCCCTGTTGTAGATCAAGTAGTTTTAAATCGGCCTGCAAATCTGATCCCCTCCCCCCTCTACTTTTTAAAAGGGGGGAAAAAAAAACCCCTCGAGGTGGGAAGAAACGCTGGGCATTTGGGCCCCTCTCTTTGAAAGCGAGCGTCTAACCCAGGCCGGGGGGTCCTTCCCGTCTTTATACAAAGAGAAGAGAAAAGAAACCCGGCTTTCAGCTGCCGGCAGCCGCGCCTGCGGCGTCTCCACCCAGACCGGGGCTGTCAGCGGAGCGGAGAAGACGGCAGCCGCAGCTCCGCGAAGGACGGCCTCCTTCTTCCGACGGCCTCCTTTAGCGTCCGGGGCTTTGGAACCCGCGCTGTCGGAAAGTCCTGGAGGGACCCTCCTTACCTTGGGCTGCCGGGCGGGCGCGCAAGTCCGGGCGGGCGATTCCCTCTCCCCAAGGGGTGGGTGGGTGGGTAGGTGGGTGGGTGATCCCCGCTCCCGGTTGCTTGCCCTCCCCTCCCTTCCTTCCCCTCCCTCCTTCCCACCGCGCCGCCCTTTATTTGGCGTCGCCGGTCAGTCTGGGCAGGTTGGGCGCGCTCAGCCCGGAGACGTGGTGGTGCGAGGGGGCCGGCACCTGGCACATGCTGCAGGGACACGGCATCCCGCCCCAGTGCTGGAAGCTGCTGCTTAGCGGAGCCGCGGCGGCTGCTGCTGCGGCTGCAGCTGCTGCAGCGGCGGCGGCGGCGGCCGCAGCGCTCGGCGGAGACTTGAGCAGGCCGTGCGAGGGTCGGATGGAGCCGACGGCCGACAGCCCCGCGGAGCCGGGCAGGGAAGCGCTGGAGACGGCGGTGGGGGGCAGGATGGGGTGGTGCACGGCGTGGGAAGCCGGGTGAGCGGGCAGAGGCGCGGCGTGGCCCACCAGGCCCCCCGAGCAGGCGGCGGCGGCGGCGGCGGGGTGAAAGCCGGCGGCGTGGTGGCCGCCGTAGATCTCGCTGAGCAGGCGCTTCATCTCCTCCAGCGAGTTGGTGAGCATGAGGATGTAGTTGCGCGCCAGCAGGAGGGTGGCGATCTTGGAGAGCTTGCGCACCGAGGGCCCGTGCGCGTAGGGCATCACCTCCCGCAGCCCGTCCATGGCGATGTTCAGGTCGTGCATCCGCTTGCGCTCCCGGCTGTTGATCTTCAGGCGCAGCTGCTGCAGCTCCGGCTCCGACATTTGCTTCTTGTCCTTCTTGGACGTCGAGGAAGAGGACGAGGAGGACGAGGAGGAAGAAGAGGAGGACGAGGGCGACTTGAAGGCCAGCTTGTCCACCACCACCACCCCGGCGGCGCTCATGGCGCTGCGCAGCTCGGCGCTCAGCTCCGCGGGGGAGTCGCTGGGCGTCGAACTGGACACGGCGCCGCCCGCCGAGAAGCTCCCGCCGCTCTTGCTCCTGGCCGAAACGAAGAGCTCATCGGGCTCCGGAGACGAAGGGCGGCTCGACACCAGGCTGGCGTCCGAGTCCATGCTGGCCCGCCGCCCCGGCCGCCTGCGGAGGAAAGAGAGACAAGCGGCGTCAGGCAACGGAGCAGCCCCGCAAAAGGTCGCGGTCGGGGCTTTGGGTCGAGCGTCGGCGAAGCCCCGAACCAGAACCCAAAGTTTCTCTCTCGCGCTCCGCCAAAGGCAGAAAAAGCCCGGCGCCGGTACTCAAAATGTGCAGCGCTTCTGAAAGCCCGGGGATTCCAAGAGGATTTAGAGTTCATATTTGTTAATTTAATTAACTTGTGGCCAATATGTCGAATAAACCCTTTTCTTTTAAAAAAAATCACCGTTATTTACTTGTAAGCCTGAAAGAAGGACCTCTAGCCTCAGATCTGTGTGTCTAAATCATTAGCCATAAATATCCAAAATAGCCTGCTTTTCTCCACCCCGTTTCCAGCATTATGGAAAAACCTAATTTTTAAAAAAAATTTAAAACTGAGAAACCGGGCCCTCGTCCTAGACCTAGACTCTGCTGCGGTTTAATCGGTGGTTGCAAGAAACGGCTCAACTGTTTTGAGGATCACGCAACAGTGTCCTGTTCCGAAGCTCAGCCCACCTTCTCGTTTTCTCTCTTACCTCCAGCAGAAACTGAAAATCCCGTCCTTGCCTAGCTTTTCTCCCACCGAACACCCCGAGCGCCACCCCTCCCCGAAATGAGATGTGAAAGGGACAGCCTGAAAACAAACTTTGGACAACTTTTTAAAACTTGTTTGGCCAAAGCGTGCTGGACTTTTCTATTCGAACTACATTTATGTCCCATTTAAATCTGCTCTCTGCGGTTTGCATCGATTTAGGCCCACCCACTTTCACACATCGCATCGAAGTATTTTTTTTTTTTTTAAAAAAAAAAGCCTACCCAAATAAACCGCAGGGCGGTTTAATCTTAGGATTAATCTTTGTTCTGATGCTAGAGGAGTTTTATAACCGGCCAGCTCTCCTCAGCCAACTATCCCGGCGCCCTCTCTACTCGTCTCTAGTCAGAAATGACTCTGTGCCAGGCGGCTGCAAAAAAAAACAACACAAAAAAACCCAACAACCCACCCCTTCTCCTTAATATATCGACCAAACAAGATTTCTTCTCCCAAAAAGTCACTAAAACAAGATAAATATGTCCCCATCCCTTCTCCTTAATATAGCGACCAAACAAGATTTCTTCTCCCAAAAAGTCACTAAAACAAGATAAATATGTCCCCATCCCTTCTCCTTAATATAGCGACCAAACAAGATTTCTTCTCCAAAAAAGTCACTAAAACCAGATAAACATTTCCTCGCTACATCAGATCTACTTTGAATGCTTGCTTTTCCTCAACCCCCTGAATCAAATCACTACAGTGCCCGTAATATTTCTTGGAGGAGCGCTAAAAGGAAGTTTGGCGAGGGGGGAAGAAAAAAAAACAAACCAAAACCACCCACCGCTCCCGCCTGGGATTCGAACAGACTGACCGGTGAGTTTTCAGCGGGCTGTACGAAAGCGAACCTGCCGGCAAGGCAACGGCAAGGGAAGACTTACACTTCGGAGCGGGTCTCCCTGGCCAGCCGGAGGATCCGCTCCAGCTGAGCTGCGGGCTGCCCCCAGATTGCAGTTAATAAGAAGCACCTTTCCTCCTTCGGCGCGCGATTTTTATAGCTGCGTCGCTCGGCCGAGCCGCTAAAGAACAATGAATATTGTCCTGGACGGGCGGCTGGGCCAATGAGCGAACTGCTGCGGGGCTGGGGAGGGGGGGGGGGGGGGGGGGGGGGGGGGGGGGGGGGGGGGGAGAACGGCGGACTGACGTCACGCCGCCGAATTCCGCTCAGTGAGACGGGTACGGACGCACGCCTTCCCCGCCTCCCAGCCAATAGGGAGCCTGGAGACAGGAGGAGAGTTTTGCGGCTTCTCGAATAAAACGCTGCAATGACAGCACCCGCAACAGCTGGCCGCGGGGTGTGTGGACCCGAGGAAACAATAACATTTGGGGAGCAGTATGGAGCCTGGCTCTCCACTTGGGCCGGGGAATTTGAATAGGGTTCACAGGCGCTTGGGAAGCCCGCCCCTCTCCCCGCCCAATGTAAACACTCACGGGCCACACAATGCGGCACCATCCCGCACTTACCGAGGCACTTCTCTCCGGCCCGGGTGAGCCCCCTTTGCCCCGGAGGCCCATCCATATCTCTTGCAGACGGCGAGGCGTAACTTCCGCGCTCAGAGGGCGCCCTGCCCGACCCCCGCCCCCCCCCCCCCCGATCTGTCGGCAGTGAACGGGAGTTTTACCTCAGAAAAAAAGGCGGTCAACTTTCTTCTAGCTGCTCTGGGCCAAACCGAGAGAGGAAAAGAAAGGGGGAAAAAAAGGAAAAGGAAAGAGTTCGAGAAAACCCTTAGGGGACCAGCTACCGTGTTTCAAGATCGAGAGAGGAGAAGCGTGGAAAACTGCAACGTTTCCACCGTCAGGAATCGAGAAGTCCTTCCAACAGCCTTTTGAAAGGATCCCTAATTGCGAACGGTTGTCCGTTGCAGTCAGTCTCAAAGGCTTGTCTTAAAAACGAATCGCATGGGGAGGAAGGGAAGAAATATATATACATCATATACATACATACATTCATACATACATTCATTCATACATACATACATATATAAACACACACACACATATATATATACACACACATATATACACACATATATACATATATATATATATGCAAAAGGCACCACTCCCATAAATAGCCATCCCATTGACGGCATGTTACCCTGATGATGCTGGCAGTGTGCCAGCGAAAGCTTGGTGTTTTAAATTTTATTAAAACTTTTTATAGTTTTTTAAAGAATTTCCTGGTGGTCTTACAATTTGTGGTTGCTAAATATATATATATGTATACATATATATACATACATACATATATATTCATACATATACATACATACACACACACACATATTCAAAATTTTGTAGCTGGCAAAGAGTTAGTGGGAGACTAGCTATTTCTCCCACTAACTCTTTGCTAGCCACAAAATTTTGAATTTATAGTGTTCACAGCATGTCACGTCTGCCTGCAAAACATGCTCCTAGATTGGAGCTAAACGCAGAACAGACTGATTTATATTTGGTAGACCGGGTGCCTCACCCAACACCCAACAAATATATATATATATTTGAAACGATTTAAATCCATTTCACGGAGCAGAAACTCGAGAACATTGCCCTAAGCTGGAACTTCTGATTAAAAAAAAGAAAACATGCGCTGAGCTACGAAGCGCTTTGGCCCTTTTGCAGGTTTAGGCAGCGGCAGAGAGATTTCGGCTCGCTCAGTCGGCATCCAGGCGCGGTGGTCCATTGCCTCCGACGCCTCTGCGCCTGGAAGAAATTGGCTTTCTGCAACTTGCTGCCCTGGCAAAATAAATTCCTTCCGTGGTGGGCGGCCTTGGGAGAAGAGCAGAGACAGTTACCGGGCTGAGTGTTCACACTCTTTTGAGCAAACGGTGGTCCTCGGCTCACCCAAAGCCTGCCTCTCCTTTTTTGTTANGTGTGTGTGTGTGTGTGTGTGTGTGTGTGTGTGTGTGTGTGTGTGTGTGTGTGTGTGTGTGTGTGTGTGTGTGTGTGTGTGTGTGTGTGTGTGTGTGTGTGTGTGTGTGTGTGTGTGTGTGTGTGTGTGTGTGTGTGTGTGTGTGTGTGTGTGTGTGTGTGTGTGTGTGTGTGTGTGTGTGTGTGTGTGTGTGTGTGTGAGGGGAGTCCAAACACCGCCTCGGACCCGAGGAAACAATAACATTTGGGGAGCAGTATGGAGCCTGGCTCTCCACTTGGGCCGGGGAATTTGAATAGGGTTCACAGGCGCTTGGGAAGCCCGCCCCTCTCCCCGCCCAATGTAAACACTCACGGGCCACACAATGCGGCACTATCCCGCACTTACCGAGGCACTTCTCTCCGGCCCGGGTGAGCCCCCTTTGCCCTGGAGGCCCATCCATATCTCTTGCAGACGGCGAGGCGTAACTTCCGCGCTCAGAGGGCGCCCTGCCCGACCCCCGACCCCCCCCCCCCGATCTGTCGGCAGTGAACGGGAGTTTTACCTCAGAAAAAAAGGCGGTCAACTTTCTTCTAGCTGCTCTGGGCCAAACCGAGAGAGGAAAAGAAAGGGGGGAAAAAAGGAAAAGGAAAGAGTTCGAGAAAACCCTAAGGAGACCAGCTGCCGTGTTTCAAGATCGAGAGAGGAGAAGCGTGGAAAACTGCAACGTTTCCACCCTCAGGAATCGAGAAGTCCTTCCAACTGGAATGCCTTTTGAAAGGATCCCTAATTGCGAACGGTTGTCCGTTGCAGTCAGTCTCAAAGGCTTGTCTTAAAAACGAATCGCATGGGGAGGAAGGGAAGAAATATATATACATCATATACATACATACATTCATACATACATTCATTCATACATACATATATATATAAACACACACACACACACATATATACACACACATATATACACACATATATACATATATATATATGCAAAAGGCACCACTCCCATAAATAGCCATCCCATTGACGGCATGTTACCCTGATGATGCTGGCAGTGTGCCAGCGAAAGCTTGGTGTTTTAAATTTTATTAAAACTTTTTATAGTTTTTTAAAGAATTTCCTGGTGGTCTTACAATTTGTGGTTGCTAAATATATATATATATGTATACATATATATACATACATACATATATATTCATACATATACATACATACACACACACACACATATTCAAAATTTTGTAGCTGGCAAAGAGTTAGTGGGAGACTAGCTATTTCTCCCACTAACTCTTTGCTAGCCACAACATTTTGAATTTATAGTGTTCACAGCATGTCACGTCTGCCTGCAAAACATGCTCCTAGATTGGAGCGAAACGCAGAACAGACTGATTTATATTTGGTAGACCGGGTGCCTCACCCAACACCCAACAAATATATATATATATTTGAAACGATTTAAATCCATTTCACGGAGCAGAAACTCGAGAACATTGCCCTAAGCT